ACTCACAGTGACCCTGTACAGGGTTTCCGAGGCTGTAAATCTGTATGGGAGCAAAAAGCCTCATCTTCCTCCTGCGGAACAGCTGGTATTTTCTAACTGCTGACGATGAGATTAACAGCCCGATTTGTAAACACTATGCTACCAGAGGTCCTCAGGACTCCTATGGTATCTCCTTATTTCTCACTTCCTTCTTTATACAACATGACGTGTTATTCTTACCAAACAAAACTATCAAGATGAGATTATAATAAGCATAAAAACATACATGACAATAAAAAGATAATGCTGGTGCAGTGAAAAGCTTCTGCTTTTTAGGTTGAGGAAGCCCCTCACTGAGATGGACTGACACAGTGGCTACAGAAATGAGCTCTAGCATGATTTGTGAGCATGTCACAGGACCAGGCAGGGTTTCGTTCTGTGTGTACAAAGGGTTGCTGTGAATCAAAACCGAAAAGGAGCATCTAACATCCTCATCCTCTGGGGAAGAGGGTTGCCTGTGAACACTCTAAAACAATGACTGCTAGTCCAATGCCCACGTGAGGCTTCGTGTATAAGAAACCCCAAGTCACATCACATACAGTCCCTTACCTGCGCGATAGGAACTGCACACAGGGTCACACCAAATCCAACTGCCACAGTTTTGTGCCACGGTCTCACCAACTCTGAGAAACAGCGCCTCTTAAAGTTCGCCGCCGCAGGCATGCGCTGTCTGTACCTAGAGGCAAGTACAAGTTAGAAACAGAAGCCAACGTGAACAAAACGTAAGTACCCAACGCCGTACAACCCTCAAGGCCACGCAGGAACCTAGGGGAGACACAGGGGAAGCCCCCCTGCCTGCCGTCCCAAGCAGGAACGCGGGCCCCAGTGAGTAAGTAATGTTGTCTCCAAGCTTTCCGAACACCTGATGACCAAATGGACGGACGTTCCTGCAGGCAGGACGTGACCAACGTTTCCTGGGTCTCACATCACCCCGAAGAGGGATGAGGCCCAAGTTCCGGGGGGTTCCCACCGCCCTCAAGGAAACAAGGTCCTTAACAGTCCAGGGCTCCTGCCGCCCCCTCCCGGAACTCTTCTCCAGGGCTTCGACGAGAACCAGGAAGAAAACCCGAGTTTTGGTAGCTGGAATCCCTGAAAAGCTGCCCGCGGAGAGTGAACCCTCGACCCGAACAAAGGGGCGGGAGCGGGGACGCCACGGCGTCTCAGGGCGGCGGGACACCTCGGCCCGCTCGGCCGAAGCCTTGCTCCTGGCTGCACCGCTCTCCGCGCCACCTCCCTCCGTCCCTGCCCCGTTACTGGCCCGTAACCGTACCTAAGGAAGGAGGTGACGCTCCGCGACAGCCAACTCCTCAAAGCCGCCATCCCGCGGCGGGAAGACGCCAAACACACACGCCGGAAGTGACGCTACGGGACGAGCCGGGGGCGGGGCGCGTCCTCCTCCTGAGGAGCGGCCCTTGCTCCATGACCACGCCCCCTATAGAGCAGTCCGGATTGGCCAGACGAGAAAATAGAGGGTGGGGCTTAGCGTAACGGCTGTAACAGCCGCGTCCGGCTCCCAACCGCCAGACCCCTGCCTGAGCGCACTGAGCCCGCGAAGCGGAGTTCGGCGCCGTAAGTGGTGAGACGGAAGTGCGCCCAGGACAGACTGCCCTTCGCGCTGGGCTGCTGTGGGGCTAGGGCGGGGGCCGTGCGCGTGCGTGAGGGCGGGGAACGCGCGGCTGGGGCGCTGTCACTTCAGCACCAGGAAGTAGGTGGTCCAGCCGGCCAGCAGCAGTGCCCCGATGAGCACCGTGTAGCTGAGCAGCACGAAGGCCAGTAGCTCCCGCAGCAGCTGCAGCACGTGGACGGCGGACGAGGCCGGCATCGCCTGGGCCGAGGGCTGAGGACCTGCGGTGGGGCGCAGAAAGGCCTTGAGCGCAGAGTAGGGGGTGCCCCTTTGCACCCACCGAGACTGGGTCCTTGCTCTCAAAATACTGGGCACACTACAAAGTATAAGGAAGCCCAAGTGTTGCTCCGTAACAGCAATCTGGATGGTCTCTGCTTTTCCACTACCAAGTACTCAAACCATACCTACTACCATTTAGTTAATTCTGACCTGGTGATCCTGCAGGATAAAGCAGAACGGCTCCAGACGGTTTCGGAGGCTGTGCATCATTAATGGAAGCAGACTGCTTCATCTTTCGTCCATGGAGCAGCTAGGTTTCAACCACTGACCTCTCGTTAGCAGCCCAGCACTTAACCCACTGTTGCTGTTGTCAAGTACCATGGAGTCGGCTCCGACTCACATCCAACCTATAGAGTTTCAGAAGAGCACCTGGTAGATTTGAACTGCCGACCTTGCCATTAGCAGTCCAGAACTTATCCTTCAGAATCCTGCTGTGACGCTGTGGGTTAATGCACCTGACTGAAAAGCCGTTTGAACTGCAAGGTCGGTGGTTCAAGCTCACCAGCTGCTCCTCGGAAACCCTATACAGGGTCTCTATGGATCAGAACCGACTCGACACTTAACAACTTATCCTTCAGTGCCACACTAGGACTCCACTATAGAAGTCTAATTCTGTAATAATAGTATAATAAAACTCCTTTATTCTTCACTGCCACATCAGCTCAGGTGCTAGGCTAGCTACTGCACTACCTGCCTTTGTCTGGGTCCCTTTCCTCTCCGCCCATGCCCATCTGCCTCCTGCATTTTTAATGCTCCCAGGGCTGCTAATGGGCGGCTAGCTCCAGGCTGGAGTGAGGCTTCCCCAGCATGCATACCACAGCCCGCATCATCAGCCCTGCTGAGAAGGGAAAGGGGAGAAACCCACCTGGATAATGGGAAGGCAGCAGTCCTCACTGGAATCCCCTGGCCCCCAGACTTGTTAATGCACTGTTTAAAGATCTTTGCTTGATGGTCCACACATCATGCCCTTCTGGGGTGCCAAGTGGCGGTCACTGATCTGGTCCTGGGATCTTGTCTTTCCCTACTGTGCTCTTCTGCCATCAGTCTCAGTCCTGCTACTTTGTACCCCAGGCAGATTCAGATGGTAAAACTCACAAACCAGTTCTTGACCTCTACTGTTGCCCTGCCCAGAAGTTCCCCTTAGTGACCTCCATGAGCTTCCTTCCCCCTGACCCCAGTTCACTCACTTGACAAAGCTTGCAGGGCTCCTCCGCTGCCTCAGCTCCCAGCTAGTCTCCGGTCTGGCGTCCAAAGGCAGGCTTGCGCACACTCCCACGGGCTGTGGGGTTTTCAGGCAGCGGCTGTGCTCGCCAACTAGGTGTGGTCCAGACATCAATTACAACCTCCGCTTGGTCCCTGAGGTCTTAGGGAGCTGCGCGCAGGCGGGGCACTGCCCGACCTCGCCTGCGTCTCTACCACAGCAGCACGCTCCATGGGAGTTTCAAAGCTCTTGACTTCCGTGCGCTGAGGAAGCAGTACACTAGGGGGTATATCATGCCTCTTCTTGTCTTGCTTTCTAAACACTGAAGATGGAATATCGCTAAATAGTTCCTTTCTTACAAACTCACACTGACAGCAGCCCTCTCTTACTCGGAGCCTGGGACCAACCAGAAGAACCACTGAGCAAAAACATTCACTTATGACTCCCCACCTAATAGCAGACACTGTGGTCTTAAAAAGCATGTCACATTGAGCATGTGTGTGTGTGTGTGTGTGTGTGACAGAGAGAGAGAGAGAGCAAGCCTTGAGCCCCAGAATGCTCCCGTCTAATCTATACCAAGAGTTTAGTGGTTCACAGACAGCACTGGCATCTTCCCAACGCATCTACTTGTAACTTCAACTTCTTCAAATAGGAGGCAGGTGGGGCCCGTAAAGATTTCAGCACAGAGCCTCTTAGAAATAGCACTGAAGAAAGAAAACACAAACTTTATGCTGCTTCTGGTTCTTTTGCTTTTTTTGTGGCAACTAGAGAACATTTTTCTGACCCTTTAAAAAAAGCAGACAGCATAGCCATCAAGCCTTTTTACCAACATCATCCAGAAACAAATGGCTCCTTAATTCAATCAGGCTCCCTCATTATCAAATCATTGCCTCGGCCAAAGCCTGACTGAAGACAGGAGCAGAACATTACCCAGCTGTTCAGGAAGCCTGTTCTAGAAACTGCTCCCCCAGAGAACTGGTCATCTGAGGGACTTCCGTGCCTTGCACAGTCTCAGCGAAGAAAGTAAAGATGAGTGTTCTCCTCTTTGTACCTCATTCTGCACCAAAGCTAACATGAAAAAGAGAGGTTACTAAAACAGCCCTGATTCAGTTTGCTTTGAACTCTGTACCCTTCAGAATGCAAGTCCCAAGGCAGAGCTGGATTCTAGCCTTTGCAACCGCTACTTACCACCCAGATTGGGGTATTTTAAAAGAGCGGAGTGGCTGAAACTAAGAAAACATAACAGTTATGAGTTCAAATGAATTAATTTCAATATAGAAATCTGAAAAAAGATCCATTTCTGCCTTTTTCTTGGATTATTGGCTGACATGTCCTCTTGTTACAGTAGATCCTCTTTAAACTATACTATTGGAGACTGAACTGTGTCCTCCCCCACAATACATGCTGAAATCCTAACCCTCTAGGTCCTGTGAATGTGACCTTATTTGGAAACAAGGTCTTTGCAGATATAATTAAGATGTTGAGTTTCAGTTAAGATACTGAGTTAGGGACAACCACTGATGTTCCTTTCCTTACAAGAGAAGTGGTGGAACTCGTGAGACTAAGGTCCTTAGTCACCCTTTAGGTCTGGAGATACATAGTTTCTTGGCTCAGTTTTCCAGCTAAACAACAGATCTCTAAGGGGAAAAACATTAGGAAAGTATTCATCCCTTAGAATAAATCCACATTTGAATCAAAAGGGCAGCATTTACCCAAGGTCAAAGTTCAGAAGGGTCAGGAAAGGAGGAGGAACAGAAACAGGAAACAAAGGGAGGAAGTGGGATGAGTGATGTTACACTGTGGAGACTGCAATCAATGACATGAAACAAACTGTGAGTGAATTGTTGAATGGAAAACTGACCTGCTTTGTAAACCTTCACCCGGTTTACAATAAAATACATAAAAGACACAGGAGAATGCATATGAAGACACTCAGGGGAACACCTTCTAATGATGGTGGCAGAGACTGAAGTGAGATATGTATACCCCAAGGATTTACAGCATCCAGCAGGAGCTTTAGAAACTTCGGTATGAAGCAACCCTACCAAGACCTTCATTGGTGTAATGGCTAAAGAGCTCGGCTGCTAACTAAAAAGGTTAATGGTTTGAACCCACCAGCCGCTCTGTGGGGAGAAAAAGACGTGGTGATGATAGGTTACTGTTCAGAGCAGACTGGGGGGAACCCTAAGGGGAAGCTCTACTCTGTCCTGTACAGTTGCTGTGAGTTGGAATCGACTTTGATGACACACAACGGCAGCTTCCAAAAACTAGGGGAAAATACACTTCATTTTTGAGTGGCCCAGGAAGTGAATCCCTGACTGAATAAATGTGCCAGGCTATTGAGTGCCAATCAGTCTACAGAAGATAGCTAGGAGACAGCATCTGCACTGCCATCTTTATCACAGCCCCTCCTCCTGGCTGTGCCACATACCCAGTCCATTTGGGGGGTTTGTTTTGAACCTTTTACTATAGTTGGCATGAAGTCTTACAGAACAAATTTGCTTTCCACTCAACAATTTGTACATATTTTAAAGTATTTTCACCTGGAATTGAACTCTACCAAATACAAATGTATCCTCCGGGCATCAAGTTAATCTTTCACGCACAAACAAGACTAACAAGACACAGGCAAGCATGTCATATTTATCACAATATCAGGGCGGGCAGACCAAGGGTGGAAGAGCGTGCAAAGAGACCAAGCTCTCCACGAATGAAGTGTGCTGTTTTTAATCCTTCCTACTTCAATCATGATGCTCTTGCTTTAACCCAGTTAAAACTACAATTCAGATGCTTATGTCTCTGTTGGCTACAGAAAGACACAAAACAGGGTCTATGTAAACATCTTTATTAAGGGGACATCAGGTATAGTAGAACTGTTTCCCCAACCAGACAAAAGTCCAGGTGAGATGTAAACAATCCACCTTCTCCAAGAATCAGTGTAGCCTTTCTCAGTAAGGGCAAACACGTCTGAGACAGACTGCTTCAATGTCGTGTAATACAGAATTATCCACCGCTTTCTATTTGTGTACCAGTTAGGCAATGGATGTTTTTAAGGCTTGTGCTAACTGCGTTTTTTAGGAGCTGACCTCTCTATGATCTGAGCAGGCAAATATAGAGTCACAAGTGAATGTAGACACATGAGACCACAACTGAGTGTCTGTTCTTAGGACAAAAACTCCAGCAAGGAGACTTGACCAGACTTGAATTGAGTCCCAGGAGCCAGAAACATTGAGGGACAAGTTAGATTTCATTGTCTATGTCAGTTGTGGCTGGCAACTGTTGGGACCAGAAAGGATAAACTAATCTCCCTGGGATAACAAGTACTGGAGAAAGGATTTTCTACAACACAAATTGTTTTCTTTAAGACATTTCCAACTATTGAATGTCGGCAAATTCTGGGAGAAACAAAGCTTTTAAATGTTACCTCTTCTACTCTTCATTGTTATATTCAAGCTCACTACCATGAAATCACTTCTAGAACTGCACCACAGGGTTCTCTTTGTCTGCTCTCATCTTTATGAAAGCAGATCCTCAAGCCTGTCTTTCACAGCACCACTGGGGGTGGAATATTTACACGGCCAACCTTCAGGATAGGAGCACAAACTGCTTGCGCCTCCCAGGAACTTTCCGAGGCTAAAGAGATTTCTTTTTAATATCAGGATTTTTCTTTCCCTCATGACGAACAATGTACCTAGCAGAAATCCTCTAAGGAGAAGAGTGAAGGATAAACTTGTGTGGTTACTAATGAGCAATAGGAATAGAACCTGGGGTAGGATCCTGACTTTGGTCTCGGAGCAAAGTGGGGCCTCAGTGTCTTAAACTCACTGCCATCGAGTCGATGCAGACTTATGGTGACTCTATACAGAATTTCTGAGACTGTAAATCTTTATGGGAACAGAGAGCCTCATACTTTCTCCTGAGGAGTGGCTGGTGGGCTTGAACTATCATCTCTGTGGTTAGCAGCCCTATGCTTAGCCCACAGCTCCAGTGCTAATTTTTCTGGAGATCTGCACCAGGACTCAAAGCTCCTCCCAACAAACACCGTGGTATGGAGTGGAAAGAAAACAGGGAAGACGCACAGATCTCCAGTGTCTGTACTACAAGCCAACAGTAGTGCTGGACACCAAGACCATCAACCAACGCACCAGAGGGATGAGGCTACTGGAGCAGAGATGGAGACGGCTGGGTGTGTTCAAGCAGCTGAGTATGGAGGACTGCTGGAGAAGTCTGTGTGGACAGCTACCATGGATGTCAAGCTGCTGAAGATGCAAGAGCCACCACCACTGGCTGCAGTAGGCCTGGCTGGAGCTGGGGCCCATGACAGGCAGGGTAGAATTCCCAAACCCCAACAGAGGTGTCTACCGCAGACATTTCTCAGTGTTAGTAACACAAGTACTGACAAAGTATCATCAAATGGTTAAATTGCCAGGAACTGTTCCCATAAAGCATCTAATCCTGTACATTTTTACAGAAGCAGACTGTCACATCTGTCTCTTGTGTAGCAGATGGTGAGTTCGAACTGCTGACCTTTGGGTTAGCAGTTTCACACTTTAACCACTGTGCCACTAGGGCTTTACTTCTGTAAAGATCACAGCATTGAAAACCCTATGGGACAGAGCTGTTCTGCCCTCCAGGGCTGCCAGGAGTCAGAATGGCCTTGGTGGCCCTTCTGTCCTTCCGTGTAAAACAAGGGACCCTGGCGGTGCAGTGGTCAAGCACTCGGCTGACCAGAACTTAGAACCCACCAGCCACTCAGAATGAGAAAGCTACGTGCTCTGCTTCTGAGAAGATCTAGGGGCTTGGAAGCCCTATGGGGCAGTTCTACTCGGTCGCATAGCATCATCAATTGTGGAACTGACGGCACTGTATTTGGTGTTAACATAAAATGTTCTTAAGTTTAGAACTAAAAAGATTTACCTTGTCACACAAATCATAAACTTTATTAAAAGAGCGCCTCCAAAACTCTTGCTTTGAAAGAAGCAAAAGGAGACAAAATTTGCCTTCCAGACCATTAAGATGGAGACTGGAGACACGAGAAACAATGTTCCACAGCTCTAGAGTGAAGAAAAACTCTCAGGCCAGTGAGAAGAGGAGCCTGGGTCCCAGGACAGTTGTCACTGACGTGAGCATGATGCTCTATCCAGAAATACATCTCACTTCACTGAGGGCGAGACTTCTCACTTTCATATTCGCTTTCACTTCCTCAGTCCCTGAGCCTCCTTCTTTTATTTTACGAACTGGCTCAATTTGTGTGGCTGTATGGGCCATCGCCCCCCAACATCTTTAATGTATTTTCAGAGACTTCTAATGAGAGCCCTGAATTAGGGAAATTCAAAATTAGTGTTTCTTTTTACCCAACTTGAGTCTCTTCTATCCTCCTTTCTCCATGAAATTAGGAATACAGAAGACGAGCAGAAAAGAAAACCAGCAGTGTATATAATTTCAGCCGCTGATCCCGGAGTCGACTCTACCTTCTTGTGGTATTCTCCTGTGGGGCTTCACTTCTTTTCCGCCACTTCTTCCAAGGGGAGGCTCATTCTGCATCTCACTCGAGAAGTCTACTCTCAACACTCTAGACAGGCTTTTCCATTAGAGACTCTATCCAGCTGGCTCCATTCATTAGTTTAGTGGTGGCGACGACATATTCAGTACCACCATCCTCCAGCTGGGAGAGAAACCGCAGAGCAGCAATTTCTGCATAGGTCACGCCTCCAAGGAAAAAGATCAGAGTGACTCGGTTTTCTCCAGGCTGACCTGAAATGTAAGCATTTCAGAATTGCTGCCATTTTACGGAAACAAGATGCACGCCACACAAGTTTTTGCAAATGGTGCAGCCCCCTTCGTGTTCGTTTCCTGTGCGCGTTATGTGTGTGTGCGTGTTATATAAGCGAAGAGTATTATAGACATCATCTATTACTGGTGATTTTCTTCCTGCCTTGTAAAAAAATCTTATCATTCGTGAGAAAGAAAGAAAACAGAAGTATCTTGAACCAGATATCATTTCAGTGGAAATTCAGTCCACTGATTTCAATCTTACTGTTTTTTCCCTAACCACTGAAATCTTCAACTCAGAGGTTGAAAGCTGCTACTCCTGAGGGAGAAATATGATGACGGAGCTTACAATACACCTTGGCAAGCAACAAAAGACATATATTTGACTCTGACGCCTAAGTGCTTTACAAATATCTTTTGAAAAACAACTGCATAAGACATGCAAACCACCCTTATCTGCAGATCCTAGACTCACACTTACGTTTCTTTTGAAGGCCAGTGGGCAAAGGCTGCCGTTCCTCAAAGTGTGGTCCGGGGAGGATGCGGAGTACTTCTTCAATGCTCCGCCAGCCAGGCCGGGAGAGTAGCTGGGCCAGCCGCACACTGAGAGGGGCGTAGCCACTGTACACGTAGGAAATGTCAGTGGGATTCTGTTACCAAACAGAAGAACAAAGTTTGAAGATGCTGCAATGTGGAATCAACTCACTGGGGCCTTCTGGCCACTCCAAAATGAGTTCATCTGGCCTTGAAAGATAGAAACATGAACAGATCCCCAATGTCCTCCTTCAAACCACTGTAGTGGGGCTCATTCTCAGCAGCCAAGAAAAGTCACTCCAAGCATTTCTAAATTCTGAAGATGGAAAATTGCTACTTGGTTAGGGCAAAAAAGTTGTTAAGTGCTATCGAGTTGATTCCAACTCTTTCCAATTCTGTATAGGGATTCTAAGGAGTGACTGGTGCGTCTGAACCACCAACCTTGTGGTTCTCAGTCCAGTGCTGATCCTAGAGCGCCCCCACCCTCACTCCAGGAGTCCTATGTTAAAAAAACCACAATTACAGCTGCTATTGATTCAGACTCATAGTGACCCCACGTGTATCACAGTACAACTGTGCGCCTTTGGTTTTCAAGGGCTGATTGTTCTGATATAGATTGCCAGGACTTTCTTCCATGCTGCCTCTGGGTAGACTTGAATTTCCAACCTCTTTAGGTTTGCAGTTGAATGCATTAACTGTTTATAATACCTAAGGTCTCTCAGATATTTCTGTGAGTAGACACTAGTGAAAACTTCTTGGAGGGTAACTTGCTGCTAATCTCACGGTCAGCAGTTTGAAACTACCAGCTGGTCTGCAAGAGAAAGATGAGGCTATCTGCTCCCGTAAAGATTTACAGCCTTGCAAACCCTGTACAGGGTCGCAATTAAGTTGGAACCGATTCCATGGCACATAACAACAACAACTTTTCTTCATTTATCCAACAAACATGCTTTGGGGGAGAAGAGACACAGACCAAAGCACAAACATTCGAAGTGCAACACTATTAACAGCAAGAGGACTCCTGGTGTGGTGCTGTAGGGTCAGCACTGCAAAGCTCAAGGTCAGCAGTTCAAACCCACAGCTGCTCCTCGGCAATGCCACACAGGGTCACTGTGAATTGGAACCGACTCAACGGCACTTATCAATAACACATTAACAGCAAAAGACTGAAAACAACCTGAATTTCCTTTCATTGAAATCTGTCCCATGACAAAACAAGTACACCCTCAAAACAGACCATGATGAAGTACTTAGAGTGTGATATCACAGAACCATCTTGGAGGGGGGAAAGAGACAGATGGAAGGCTGGGGTGGGGAGAAAAGCTGTCCTATTATTGTTGCTGTTAAGAATGGTGGGTCCCCACTCATAGCTATCCTGTATAGGGTTCTCAAGGAGCTGGTGGGTTTGAAATTCCAATCTTGCAGTTAGAAGTCCAGTGCTTATCCAACAGCAACGCACCAGGATATATAAGTGTACACATATATATTATATATATGTTGTTATTGTTAAGTGCTGTCGAGTTGGTCCTGATTCATAGCAACTGCTGTATAGGGTTTCCAAGGAGCGAATGGTTAAGTTTGAACTGCTGACCTCGTGATTCAGACTGCCTTGTGATTCAAATAGCCTTGTGGTCTAGTGCATGACCCCACAGCGACACACTAGGACTCCTATTATATATACAGCCAATAAGCAAGCCTGGGTCAGGGCTCTGAGGCTATAAACCTTTGCAGGAGCAGAGAGCCACATCTTTCTCCCATAGTATATATACATATACATACATACATACATACATAGACACAGGGAGTCCTGGTGTAGTGCTGTGTGCTAATGCGTCAGATTGCAAAGTCATTAGAACTGAAAAGTCGGTGGTTCAAGCTCACCAGCTGCTCCTTGGAAACCCTATATAGAGTCACTATGAGTTGGACCCGACTCGATGGCACTTCATAACAACAACAATAACACATATATACATGTAGGAGAAATATGAGGCTCTCTGCTCTGACAAAGATTTAAAGCCTCAAAAACCCTATACAGGGTTGTTATGAGTCATAACACATATATACATGTAGGAGAAATATGAGGCTCTCTGCTCTGACAAAGATTTAAAGCCTCAAAAACCCTATACAGGGTTGTTATGAGTCAGAACCAACTTCATGGCACTTAATAATAACAATACATATATGCATATATGTGTGTTATTGTTATGTATATATATATATGTGTGTGTGTGTGTGTGTGTGTGTGTGTGTGTGTGTGTGTAGATATCTATATATACACATACCTACATACACAAAAGGAGCTCTGGTAGCGTAGTGGTTACGAATCGGGCTGCGAACCGGAAAGTCAGCAGTTCGAAACTACCAGCTGCTCCGTGGGAGAAAGATGAGGCGATCTGCTCCCGTAAAGATTTACAGCCTCGGAAACCCTATTCAGGGTCGCTATGGGTCGAAACCGACTCGACGGCACTTAACAACAACAACAACATACACAAAGGCTTCATAAAGGTCATGGGAAAATTAGATTACACGTCATTTACCTTGAACTTTTTGAAGGCCTAGTGATGTATAGCTGACCCTCCCTTAGAGTCAAAAAAGGCACATATAATTTACAGTTAAGCCCTGAACAAAATAAGTGTGAACCGCGTGGGCTCACCTCTAGGCCGCTATTTTTCCCTCCTGTTACTGCAGTGTGGCCAGCACTCATTTAGAGCCTGTGATGCCAATCACTTGTGTGTGAGCACGTGTCTCTCCACAACTGCACATGAGCCCCGGTACCGTGGTTTGGGTTTGGTCAATGGAGGGCCACCGAGGGATGCTGGAGGGTGGGCAGCAGCATGAGGTGCCGTTGTTGTAGGCTACTTGTGTCCCTCAACTATGGCCCCTCAACCGTCATCTGGATGACAGTCTCTCATACAGCTCTTCTCTCGGGTCCTGGAAGAGGTTTCTAGAACAGCTCCCTCTGTAGCCTTCAGGTGATAAGAGCTCCTGACTGTATTACCTTCCTCATGCCCTCCAGCTCTGCCTCTGCTTCCGGCTGGACACAACACATGACGGCACTGCTCTTCCAAAAGCATTACCCAGGATTACTGTAAACAGTAAGGCCCATGTGTGCAGACTACCACTGTCCCACATGGTTTCAAAGCTGTGGCTTTTGGAAGCAGATCAGCAACCCTATCTTCTGAGGTGCCTCTGGTACAAACTGCCAGCGTTTTGGCTTGTAGTCAAGTGCTTACCCACCTAGGATCTAACCCTATACTGTCATGGTTGTGTGCCATTAGTTAGCTTCTGCCTCACAGCAATCCTGCAGGGCAGAGCAGACCTGTCCCAGAGGGTTTTCTAGGATGAAGTCTTTTTGGAAGCTGATCGCCAGATCTTTTCTCCCATGGAGCGGCTGGTGGGTTTGAACTGCTGACCTTTCAGCTGTTAATCAGGTGCTTTACCATTATGCCACCAGTCCTCCTTTATGTTGTCATAATAAACCTTTAACTAAAGAAATTAAACTGCTTTCTTACTTGTTCGTTGACATCGTCCATCCAGAGCCGCAATGTTTTGCGAATTGTCGGGTAATTGTTCCGGCCCCCTGTCTGCGGTCGCAGGAGTCCAGCTTTCTCAAGGTTGTACAAGGTCAGGATGTGTTCATAGCCGTAGGTCTGTAATGTAAGGGCTGTGGCTTTGATGTCGGTTCAGGAAGACGGTTTCAGCTAATTTCTAAAAAGAGCACTTCCAACAAATGCATTTGGTTTGTTCTCTAAGGCACAATGCCAAAGTCCAGGCAGTGCCTGCGAAGGGCACAGGTGACAGGCTGGCGGGGCATAACTGATCCCAAAATTGCTTGCCTATTATAATTAATCCAGTTGACTGATTCAAACAGATTTAAAAATACTCTGAAATATTAGAAACGTTACATGAACAGCCAGTAAACTACAATATTTGGGAGGCTTCAAAAAGCTCGTGGAGAAAATCTGACTTGATGGTACTTAACAACAACAACAACATGAGGAGTAGAGTTCAGTTCTGTTACAAAATTTTAAAAAAGACATAACAGCTAACGCATACGGATAGAGGACAACTTCGGAGAGATCGCGAGTCCGGTTCTAGCGCACTGTGATAAAAGCAAATTATTGCAATAAAGCAAGTCTGAGAAATATTTTGGTTTCTCAGTGAACATAAAAGTTATTTTTATCCAACTGATTACTACAAGAACAAGCAAGTTGCTCGCCAAGGAGACATCAAGGCAAGTGGTCAGGTCCCCTCAGGGCAAACCCCTTCCAAGACTAAGACTCAATGGGAATACATGCTCTGATTGGTGACCACGCTCATCACTGATAAGGGAAAGTGATGGAAAAACAGCAATGAAGCCGCGAGCTAAGCCCTACAATGGTCAACAGAGTCCTGTGAACCTGGGTGGAGATGTGATAGGCCAGAAGTATGACAAAACCTGGGGGCTCTGGGGCCCAGAGTCAGTGACATAGCCACAAAGGACTAGAGTGGAGAGTGAAGGGTCCAGCTGATAAGAAGAGAGGGCAAATGCATAAGAACACTCACACTTGCACATAATACCCACTTGACCTGGCTTCTATGACTGGATGATCAGAAGAAGAAGAGGAAAAAAAAAAAGAGTAATCTGATACAATTTGATGAACTTGACTTACACCTACGGATGCAGTGGCTCAAAACAGGGAACAAATGTTTACAGTAAGGATCATTCCCACCCCCTCCATACACAGAGTAGACAGGGATGGGCAACTTGGACATTAGCTACCCAAAATGGAAGGGAGAGGGACTACAAAGGCAAGAAGTGACTGGCTTACAAGCTTTCAAGAGGGAGCCTAGATCCAGAGGGTGTGGAGGAAGGTAGAATCTCCACTGAGAAGTATCCAATCTGTCTGATGAAATGGATGTGGATAGGTCTCTTGTGATATAATAGTGAATAATTGTTATCAGGACTGATTGTGAGGGTTGGAAATGTAAAGGTAGATGTTTTGTAGCAAAAGGGGGGGAGTGATTGACTTTGCAGTCTAGGAACTGAGGTCCCTGGTACCATCAAGGGAGAAGAGAAGATAGTGGCACCCTACCCAGAGAAGCAGTGACACCAGAGATGGAGGCAGAGATGATGACATGGAGAGATGGAGTGACTGGGGAGTTTAGACACAGAGAGGGAAAGGGGCTATGTGCTGACGACTGGGGGGCAGGCTTGCAGTGTATACCCTTTAGTTGGTTGATGATGCACCGAGGGGATTGTAATCATGGCAATGAAACAATATACGATAGGATGAATGTAGAGCTAATGTTCTCCCATGTAAACTATCACATAATTCACAATAAAACATTAAAAAAAAAGAAGTTATTTTTACAATACAGGATAGTCTTAAATGTGCAGGAGTGTTTTGCAAAAGTCTGAAACAGCAAGGGAGTGGCAAAATGTGACACAGACAGACAAAGTGAGCACACTGTAGGAAAAATTGTACCAATAGATGTGCTCAATGCAGGGTGACCACAAACATTCAGTTTTGGGGGCAGGGGAGCAGTCTCTACGAAACACAACATAGTGAAATGGAGTAAAATGCGTATGCCTGTAACACCGGCTGCATGCCGAACACTGCCCTAAGTGCTTTACTCATGTTAACTCAGCAATTCATCCTGTCACCCTGAGACGGATTCCTGCTATCTCCCTTTTAAGGAGACGTTTAAATAGCAGGTCTGAGGTCCCACATTACTAACGAGGAGCAGATGGAAACAGGGTTACTCCAAAGCCTACACAGGGTAACATTCGTTACATTCAGATGCCAAGGAGAGGGGCCTGGAAGGATGAAACCCATGCACTGCCAATGGCCCTATCTGGGGAGGGGAACGAGACAGGAATGTGGGTGCAGGGGTGTCAGAGTCTGCTCTGCGCACTTCTGCATGACCTGAATCTTCCACGATAAGAGATGAGAATGCATGTGTTGTTTGTGAAATTAAAATTTAAAAAGGCCAAAAATATTTCATGAGTCCTGACATCAACAATGTTCTGGACGGGGACTAATGAGAGCTAATAAACATGACACAAGACATTTTTAAACAAGAGAGGATGTTAAAAAATAATGACATGTGTTTCCTTATACTATAAAGTGTTGTCAAGTTGAATGTGGCTCACAGCAACCCCATGCACGGGATGGAGGAGAACTACTGCCCCACTGGGTTTCCTAGCTTGTCATCAATCAATAGGGGAGCTGGTAACCAGCGACAGTTCCTGACCATTGTGGGCTGACCATCTGGATTTTCGGGGGTTGCTGCTGACTAGCAGACACAGCCACCTGCGTGAAGTCACATGACTTCTTTACAGGAGCAGATCAACAGGTCTTTTCTCCCATGAAGCCACTTTCTGTTAGCCACCAAGTGCTTAACCACTGTGACACCAGGGTGCTTAAGCACTCTGCCACTTTCTGGTAGAAAGTAACACAGGCTGAATTTCAGTAGCCTTACGAAGAACTGTTAGAAAACATTTAGGAAACGTTCTCTTCTTTCGTCAACTTGCATCTGGATAACTACATGGGTGCTGAACCCAAAGCCCATGGGTTTCAGCCCTGGTGGCAGAGTGAGTAAGCACTGGACTAAAGAAATCATCAGGAGAAAGATGTGTGAGTCTCCGTCTATAAAGATTACAGCCTTGGAAACCCTCTAAGGCAGCTCTAGGCTGTCCTATGGGGTCACTAACAGCAGGAACCAACACAACGGCAAAGGGCTTGGTTCTTCTTTATTTTGGGGTTCTCTCACCTACTAGCAGGGTGATCTTGGGCATATTAAAAGATTGTGAAAAAAATGAATGAAAAGATAATGGAATTTTTCTGCTAATTTTTTGAAACCCCTTCATATAATCCATCTGTCTTAATTTTTTAACCCACAAAATGGGGATCATACCAGTCCCGAACTCACAGGAGAGCTGTGAGGATGAATAACTGGGATCACCCAAACGTCTTCCAATAGAGCCTACTGCAGAATGAAGCTTGTGTTGACTGTTCTGAATGGGAGATGCAAGCAACAAGAATAAATTCCAAGAACAGTTTTCTCAGGTGATGAGAAAAACAAAACAGAAAACAGTGGTAGAAATAGCAGCTTCATAAACTACTTATTAATTAGGTGTCTTCCAACTACAGAAACTATTGCCCTGAGATCATCTTGAAAACTTAAACCAAAAATACTCCTGAAGTCATCTTAAAACCAAACAATGGTTTTAGCTGAACTAGTGAAAAAGGTTTACCCTGAGCATTATGCTCGTTAAAAAACGATCTCATAGGAGCAAACTGATAACTGCAACTCGGAACTAGATGGAAACCTTGCGGGGCAGTGAGTTTATGCTAATGAGGGCAGGACAACTCAGAAAAGGAGTGTGAGAAAAGTTGCACAAGTTGAAAGATGCAATCCATAATGTTGAATTGCACATGCAGAAAGTGTCCGATTGACATTTTGCTCCATACATTCTCAAAAACAATAAAATGAAATTTTAAGAAAAAACAAAACAAAAAGATGTTTTCTATGGAAGCACTTTTCACAATAACCAAAAGGTAGAAGCAACCTAAATGTCCATCAATAGGTGAATGGATAAATAAGATGCAGCATCTCCAGAGAACACTGAGGCAGACTGACTAACTTGGAAGCAGCTTTCCTCTGTCCAACAGGGTCACTGTGACTCGGAATCGTCTTGATGGCTGTGGGATGGCCCCAGCATGGAATGTGACTCAGTCATAAGGAGAAAGGGCGTCTGGGTGCAGACTGTATTGTCAATGAAGATGGAAAACGTGAGGCTGCTGAGTCAAAGACATCAAACAGGAAAAGAAAGACATGAAATGTCCAGAACAAACAAATGCACAGAGACACAAGTTTATTAGGGGTTACCTGCGGCAGAGGGAGAAAAAAAAGTTGTTTTCTTCTTTGGCAAATTAGTAATTTGAAAATCTACTGACCTGGAGAATTTCTCTCTTGTAATAGTCCAAAACTTTTTGTTTGAGTCCACTGTTACACACGGACTGGAGGCAAACAAGTCTCAACACCTTGATCAAGGGGTGCTTTTGGGCGATACAATCCTCAATGTAGTTGTTGATCTGGACACAAAGAAAAGGGCCCAGGTGGCTCAGTGGGTTAAATACAAGAGCTAGTCACGGCTGGCTGCTCCCATAAAGACTGTCAGTCTCAGAAACCCTAAGGAGCAGTTCCACTCTATCCTATAGGGTCATTCTGAGTTGGAACTGACTTGGCACTGGGTTTGTTGTTTGCTTTTTTAAAAAAGACACAGAAAATATCCACTTACTAAGCACTTGGTTTGGGGACCAAAGAACAATACTTCATGGCTACTATTATTTTTCAAACATATGAGGATCAGATGGGGGATAGTTTTTAAATTGTCACATTTTCCGGGCTCTGCTGGCACAACAGTTAAGCACTTGGCTGCTAACTTAAGGTTGGAGGTTCAAATCCACCCAGAGGCTTGGAGAGGGAAAGATCTGGTGACCAGCTCTGGTCAAGACAGCTTTGGGGTAGCTCTACTCGGACATACAGGTCACTGTTGCCCAACAATTAAGTGCTCCCCAAACAAATTGCTCCTTCAGCCCTGCCCCTGTCCTCCCCCGACCCCAAACTCCCAGTAACCAGGCCAAGTCTCACAGGAACGTAGGCCCAGCAAGGATCTCATCGATCACACAAGTCAAATGACTGCCCCCACACGTCTCTCCACGGGAAACCTCCTAAGTGCTTCCCAAGTGTTCGGGCACTGAGTGACCCAGTGGATTTCAATAATACCAGCAATTTATCATACAGAAATCGGACTTTTAATTGTCCCCAGTAGTCGGGAATCTCCATAAACTTATTAATTTGCATGCCAAATTCTCTCAACAAGTAACTTTCTCAATTTATGTATTATAGTCCTTCAAGAGCTGTGATTTCAGGACTGGCTCTCACCTATCACAAAAACTGCCTTGCAGAGAATAAGGTTAAATGCTTGTGATGTGAGAAAAATCTCTATTTTCACAATTGCTCTGAAAAATATTTAGACAAGGCACAGGAATGTAAGCAATTACTTTAGGCTACAAGTTTATGTTTGCAAAACTATCAATTACTTGTCAGAGCTGTTCTACGTCCACGTACCTTATCAGTGTCTATTCCAGACATAAACTCCTGCTCCACTGTTAATTTATCAAAGAAGTCTTCAGAAGCTAAAATACAATCAGCACATTTGCAACTTAGATACAATATAAATGTGAATTTCCTTTAATAGTGTACTTACAGATATGTTTTTATACAAAGAGCATAATTTAGAGACACAATATGCACAGAATTAGCAAGCAAAAGTTCACACCATTACCTACAAAAAACCCCACAAATTCTTCCAGAACAGATGATAAGTTTATAAGCTTTGAACTCATACCCTGGATTTAGAGATGGTCAATGATTGTACCCCTTTGCTGTACTTAGGGTCCAAATATAGAGCTCAGAATTGGGCAGAATGAGCCTCAGTATCAATACAAGCTATTGTCCCAAGAACATTTCATTTCTGGCATTAGATTCAATCTAGTTTCAATGGATTTCTTCTCTATTCACATGAAACCCAGGGATTGATTTGCCCACATTGTGTTTCATCTAAGATTTGAAGCACAATTCATAAAGCAGACATCAGACAACCTCTTGCTCTGCTTTTATGGCCTGGGTTTTAATGAACTGGCACCTGGTTTCATACACATTTTCTGAACTCTGTCAAGATACTCGACATATGCTCTCTGTAACAATTCTGTGGAAAGCTTTTAAGGGGACAGGGGAAGACTCTCTCGAAACATCACATTTCTCCCTGAGTGGCGCAAGTGGCCAATGTGCCAGCTGCTAACTGAAAGGTTGAGCATCTGAGTCCACTCAAAGGCACTTTAGAAGGAAATCCCTGGTGATTCACTTTATGAAAAATCAGCCACTGAAACCTATGGAGCAGAGGACGCCTATGACACACATGGGTGCGCCATGCGTCAGTCAACTCCACAGCACCTGGCTTTAAAAATTAACAACAGAAAAAAAAACACTAGAAGAAACTAATCACTCTGCGTTATGGCAGTAGGCTTATGTATACGTTTTTGTCTTTTCTCTATATTCTAAGCACTTTGTCATATGGTTAAATTATTTTATTAATGGAAAAAATTGAGTAAACAAAAAAATTGAACATTAAAAACTATCAGTACAAAACATTATCACTGAGAAGGATACCTAGTACAGGTACCCCCTGCTTTCCACAAGTTTGCTGTATGTCACTAGCAGATCTGTTAGTTCCTGTTTGTGCTGATAGAAGACTGAAGGTTTTCACTAACTGAAAGTAATCTAAAGGGCAAAGAGCGAAGCTAGCATTCAGCACGTCTGCTGTGCAGCAAGCTGTTTAAGAGGCATCACGCACCCCAGCAGTGAAGTGGTACCACCAAGCTCCTTCCCATGGAGCTACACACAGCACTGAACACTGCGTGTAAAGTTTGGTGTGTTATTTGGTATGACTTGGTGGGTTATTTTCTGGAATGCAGGAATGCTCAGAAAATGTCCCTGTATACATGAATGGCAATAGTGTCTTCACTTGACACCATTTCAGCATATAAAAGGTTTGCTAGGAATGTTCTGTTTACAGATCGCGTGGGACACCGACATGAAGACAGTACGGATTTCCCCATACAGGTATCATGGAGCCAATAACCAACGTGTCCGACTCCAGATGAAAACAAGTGTTCCAGAACATACTCACTGGTCACATCTTTGATTAACTCGGCGATGGACGTGTGGTTTGCGAGGGAGCCCCTTGCAGCCTGCATATGGGGCAGCTGGGAAACAAACTGCTTGATCTCCCCAACCGTTTTAGCGTTGTGCCTCTCCTGCAATGGGTCAGACAGGGAAGAATTATGTGCATTTTTCACAGGATGTGTACATTTAACCTAGGCGTGGCATTGTAGGATAAGCACTGGACTGCTATTCAAAAGGTCAGCAGTTCAAACCCACCAACCTCTCCTTGGAAACCCTATACAGGATTGCTGTGAGCTGACACTGACTCCATGGCACTCAACAATGTGAAATGAAAGGAGCCCTAGTGGAGCGGTAGGTTAAGAGCTGGGCTATAATTCGTAATGTCAGTGGTTCTAAGTCACCACCTGCTCTGTGGGAGAAAGATGAGGCGGTCTGCTCCTTTCAAGATTTACAGCCTGTCACTGTGAGTCAGAACCGAGTTGATGGCAGGGGGCTTACTGTGAAAGGAAGAATGGAATACAAATAATCAAGCCAAACCCAGATCTGACATTACATATACAGAGGGGCATCAGAAAGTTCGGGATGAAATTCCCTTATCATTCAATTCCATCTTTCCAGGAACTCTTTGAAACCCTCTCATTTAGAGAAAGATAGGAGTTGAGTATATACCTGAAAGCAGAGCTTGTGGAGCTAGTTTGCTACATCACCTTAGACAAGAGCCAGTCTGATGCCAACCTTCCTGGACACTGGCTTATCCTTTGTGACTGGTTATTCTGTGGGTGTGAGTATTTGGGGAAGACCCATCAAAACCAAACAGTCACCCAGTAGCTGCTGACTCACAACAACCCTGTAAGACAGAGGAGGGTTTACGAGGCTGTAATCTTTAAGAAGTCCTGGTATGGTGCTGTAGGATAAGCACTGAACTGCTAACGGCAAGTCGGTGGTTCAATGCTCCTTGGAACTTCTATACAGAGTCACTATGAGTCAGAAATGATCCTACGGCACTTAACAACAACAATCTTTAAGAAGGTCGGCTGCCCTGTCTTTCTCCCACATAGCGACTAGAGGGTTTGAACCACCAACCTTTTGGTTAGCAGCCCAACACTTAACCCACTGCATCACTAAGGTTTCTTTGGTGGAAGATTGTTGTTCTGAGGTATTATCGAGTCAGTGTCGACTCAGAGATACTCTGTGTCCAACTGAGCGGAACATTGCCGGGTCCAGTGCCACCGTCACAATGTTTGCTACGCTTGAGTCCACTGCCGCCGCCACTGGGTCTACCCATTTCCTTGCAGCTCTTCCTCTTTTTCACCAACCTTCTACTTTACCGAGTCTGATGTACTTCTCCAGAGACGGAGCCCTCCTAATAATATGTACAAAGTATGAGAGATGAAGTCTCGCCATCCTAGCTTCTAAGGAACATTCTGGATACACTTCTTCCAACACAGATTTGTTTGTTCTTCTAGAAGTCTATGGTATTTTTAATATTCTTCTCCAAAACTGTAAGTTGAATGCATCTATAATCTTTCTTATTCACTGTCCAACTTTCACATGCTTCTGAGGCAAGTAAAAATACCATGGATTGGGTCAAGAATACTTTAGTTCTCAAACTGATCTTTTTATTCTGGAACATTTTAAAGAGGTGTTTTGTAGCAGATATGCCTAATGCAATAAGTCACTGGATTTCCTGACTGCTGTTTCCAAGAGTATTGATTGTGGATCTACGCAAAATGATGCAATTGACAACTTCAATTCTTTTCCCCTTTATCATCATGTTGTTTATTGGCCCAGATGTATGGATCTTTGTTTTCTGTAACATTGAGACTCAGTCCACATTGAAGGCTGTAGTCTTTGGTCTTCAAGTCCTCTTTGCTTTCAGAGAGTAAGGTTGTATCATCTGCAAATCGCAGGTTGTTCATGAGTCTTCCTCCAATCCTGATTTTACATTCTTCATGTAATCCAGTTTCTCGAATTACTTGCTCACCATACAGACTGAGTAAGTATACTGAAAGAATACAACCCTGGAGGACACCTTTCCTGATTTTAAACCATTCAGTATTCCCTTGTTCTATACTAACATCTGCCTCTCTGTCTATATACAGGTTTCTCATGAGCACAATTAAGTGTTCTTCACAATGTTTTTGTAGTTTGTTGAGGTCCACACAGTCAAAAGTCTTTGCATAGTCAATAAAACACAAGTAAACATCTTTCTGATATCCTCTGCATTCAACCAAGATAGAGCTGACATTAAATATTATATCCCTAGTTCCACATCCTCTTTTGAATCCAGTTTGAATTTCTGGCAGTGTACTGTTGTGTACTGTTGTAATCATTTTTGACTCATATGAAGCAAAATTTTACTTGCATGTGATATTAATGATACTGCTCGATGATTTCCACATTCCAGTGGGTCACCTCTCTTTGGAATAGGCACAAATATGGATCTCTTCCAATTGGATGGCCAGGTAGCTGTCTTCCAAATTTCTTGGCATAGATAAGTGAGTGCTTGCAGTGCTTCATCTAGTTTGTTGAAAGAGATCAATTTGTATCCATCAATTCCTGGAGCCTCGCTGTCCCCCCGTGCTTCAGTACCACTGGTTCTAATAACATGCTATCCCGTGAAATGGTTGAACAGCAATCATTGCTTTTTGGTACAGTGATTCTGTGTGTTCCTTCCATCTTCTTTTGATGCTTTCTGCATCATTCAGTATTTTGCCCAGAGAATCCTTCAGTATTTCAAGTTGAGGCTTGAATTTTTTCCTTGGTTTTTCTGTTTGAGAAATGCTGAGTGTGTTCTTCCCTTTTGGCTTGCACATTTCATTATAATACTTTGTCTTCTCAAGCTGTCCTTTGAAGTTTTCTGTTCAGTTCTTTTACTTCACTTCCTCAGTTTGTGTTAACATGTCTGTGCTCAACAGCAAGTTTCAGAGTCTCTTCTGACATCCATTTTGATATTTTCTTTCTTGCCTGTCTTTTACATTACCTTTCGCTATCTTCCTGTATGATGTTTTTTATGTCATCTCACGACTCTTCTGGTCTTTGGTCATTAGTGTCTAATGCATCAAATATGTTATTGAGACAATGTCAAAATTCAGGTGGGATATATTCAAGGTCCTATTTTGGCTCTCATGGAATTGTTTTATTTTCCTTCAGCTTCAGTCTAAACTTGCACATGAGCAATTAATGGTCAGTTCCACAGTCAGCCCTGGCCTTGCTTTGGCTGATGATACTGAGCTTCTCTATTGTCTCTTCTTACAGATGTAATCAATTTGATTGCTGTGTATTCCACCTGGTAAGGTCCAGATATAGAGTCATCTTTTGTTTTCCTAAAAAGGCATTTACACCCATGTAAACTATCACCAGGCTGCAAATCCGGCAGTTCTAGCTCACCAGCTGCTCCTCGGAAACTCTATACAGGGTCACTATGGGTCGGAACTGACTCGATGGCACTTAACAACAACAACAAACTATCACTCAATTCACAATAAAAACTTAAAAAAAAAAAAAGGCACTTACAATTGAACACCTTGCAAACTGCAGCATCATTTCTGTCACCAAGGCCACAGTTTCCAACTACGGAGCCTTGTTGTTTCCAAGTTTCATAGTTCAATCACCAGTAATGATCAGTGTATCTTGATTGCATGTTTGATCAATTTCAGACTAAAGAAGTTGGGATAACTCTGAATTTCATTATCACTGGCTTTAGTGGTTGGTGCATAAATTTGAATAGTGATACTAACTTGTCTTCCTTGTAGATGTACAGACACTATTCTATCATAGACAGTGTTGTATTTCAAGATAGATCTTGAAATGTTATTTTTGATGATGAATGCAATGCTTTTCTTCTTCAGTTTGTCATTTCCAGCATAATAAGCCATGATTGTTGGATTCAAAATAGGATATCAATCTTTAGGCTTTCCATTTTATTTTTGATGATTTCCAATTTTCATATATATATATAGTCCTGGTGTGGTGCTGTGGGTTAATGCACCAGACTGCTAAGCCATTTGAACTACAAAGTCGGTGGTTCAACCTCACCAGCTGCTCCTCGGAAACCCTATTCACAGTCACTATGGGTCAGAATCCACTCAACGACATTTAACAACAACATACATATATAAACTTCAGACATTCCATGTCCTGATTATTAATGGATGTCTGCAGCTGTTTCTCCTGATTTTGACTTCTGCTCTATTAGCACAAAAAGGTCCCTACAGCTTTACTCCATTCATGTCATTACGATCAAGCTACTTTTCAGTCGCATTTAGAACACACTAGGAATTGTCTTCCAAACTGAGGGTCTCATCTTCTGGCACTATATCTGACAGTATTCTACTGCTATTCATAATGGTTTCCTTTTCCAGCACTATATGTGACAATGTTCTGTTGCTATTCCTAAGGTTTTCAGTGACTAAATACTGGAAGTAGTCCACCTCTCCGTCTTCCTAGTCTGTCTTAGTTTGGAAGCTCTGCTGCAACCTATCCACTGTGGGCAAACTTGCTGCTCTTTAAAATACCAGCAGCATAGCTTTCAGCATCACAGCACCACACAAGCCACCACAATGCGACAAATCAACAGACGAGTGGTGGTTGTGGGGATTATCAGTAAGTAAAGAAAAAAGTTCTGAACAAAAAAACTGAAAAGAAAGAAAAACACCATGAACGGGAAACATGGAAAAGCAGGGAAATTTTTTTCCTCTGCAACAACAACAAAAATCCATTCTTGCTGTGGAACCTAAAGTGTTAAATACTGTCCATAAGTGAGCTTCACTTAGAGATGAGAAAACATTTTTTTAGTGTGTGGAAAATGTGATGCTTTTAGTCAAAAATATTTCCAGAGATACGTGACATCCATTAACAAATACGATTCCTGAGAAAGACAAAATCTTGAAGTACATACTCGGTGGCAGGCAAATGAGTTTCCAAAATGTCCCTCTGCTTGCTCTGCCGCTATCCATATTTGCTACGCTTGAGTAGCAAATGGGATCGTTTTCTGGACATGCACCACCCACGCCTTCTTTGTCTTTGGAGCCTAGGAGCTCTGTTAACCTGACCCCCGTGGGTGACCCTTCAAATCTGTTTGGGAAGAAGTACAGCCAGAGTGCTCTTTAGAAGCAAGAAGGCGAGCCTGTGTCTCATTCACTTTGACTGTGTGATCAGGAGGCATCAGGCCCCAGAGCAGGACATCACATTGGCTAAAGCAGACGGTCTGTTGAAAAAGAGGCAGGTCCCCAACAAGACGGACTGGCACAGTGGCTGCAGCAATGGGCTCAAACACAGGAAGGACAGTGAGGAGGGCTCGGGGCTGGGCAGTTTCCTTCTGGTGTGCACGGGATAGCTTTGAGTCAAAGCCAATTCAACAGCATCTAACAGACTCTATTTGTTTCCAAAGTTGAAGTCGTCCTACTTTATCCTTGTAGTGAATTCCCATGCTTCAGAACCAAGCTTACGTGGGAATACGCTGGATAAACGGGCAAGAAGAGGCAGGAGGGTGATAATGAAGGCGTCTGTGGAGAGGCACTGTCCTGCTGGGGATGCCAACCTCATTATCACCTGCCACCCCAGCAGGGTTCCCAGCCACTGTCCTGTTCTCTAAACATGGATCTCTCCCCACAGACCGCAAGGATGCTTTCTTTACACCATAGCTGGTTGGCTTCCTTGTCAGTGAGGTAGGAAATAGCTTAAAAGAAGGCAAACAAAAATATACCAGGATAACTTGTAAACTGCAAAATTAAAAAAAAATAAAGGAGCTACACCTAATACCACATCTTTTGGTCATGGGTCTGGAGAAAACTCTGAACAGAAAACTTGGGGACCTTCAATACTTATTTAGGGTAAGAGAAGGAACCCTGCATGATCAGTGGTGGGTGATCTGAACTCACCAGCTGCTCAGGGGGAGAAAAGACCTGGCTATTTGCTCGCTTACAGATCTCAGCTTAAGAAATCCTCTGGGGCAGATCTTCTTTGTCCTCTAGGGTTGCTAGGAGTCAGAATCCACAGGAAGGCACACAACCTTGGGACGAGAAAGGTCTCTGGGTGATGTAAACAGTTTGTTTGGCTACTGGTTGGTGTTTTGAACCTGCGGAAAAAAGGTCTGGTGACCTGCTTCCATAAAGACCACACCCACTGGACACCCCCTGGAGCTCAGCTCTGCTCTGACACATAAGGGGTTGTCACAGTTGGAGCTGAGGCAAAGGCAGCTGGTTTGGTTTGATGAGAAAGGGCGGCTTCACTCAAAGCCTGCTCACTGCGTGCTCTCAGTGGGGTGGGCAGGCTAGCCTGTGACAACCACTACACGTCTCACCTCAAAGCCTGCTCACTGCGTGCTCTCAGTGGGGTGGGCAGGCTAGCCTGTGACAACCACTACACATCTCACCTCAAAGGCTGCTGAAATGACTTTTGCTTTCTTGCTTAGCACGGAGCCCACGGCGTTGAAGTTCTTATCTCGGATCTCGGCATACAGCTCCTCCGCAGAGTTCAGCTGCAGCTTCTTAGCTTCTGTAGGAAGATCCTTACCACTCTCACCCTGCTTCTTAGGGGTGAATTTTTCTGGCGGTAACTTCACATAACCTGCACAACAGTGGGTGGGTGGGGGGAAAGTTTGTGTGTGTGGTTACTGGGAGGAGCAATCCAGGGACCACACAAAGCAGAACTGTTCAACTCAGGTTAAAAACAAAACAAAGAATTGTGTATGGTACTGGGCTTGTTCCATGGTCAAAGAACAGAACGGAGTGCTTACTTAACATTAGTGTCCTCACAAAGAACAGAACGGAGTGCTTACTTAACATTAGTGTCGTCACAAAAAACAGAATGGAGTGCTTATTTAATATAAGTGTCGTCATCCTATTTTTTAATGTAAGAAGAAAGGCCTGGCGATCTCCTTCTGAAAAATCCGTCAATGAAAACTACGGATCATAAGGGTCAGATCAGCAATGGATCATGGGGATGCCATAGACATAAGCAGCGTTTAATTCTGTTGTGTATGAGACCACCATGAATTGGAAGCCCGCTCAATGGCAGCGAACTACAACTAAGACTATCTCGTTATAGGGCACCTACATGGATCCCTTGTATGATGCTGTAGGATATGCACTGGACTGCCAACCACAAGGCTGGCAATTCAAACCCACCAGTCGCTCTTTGGAAACCCTATACAGGGTCACTGTGAGTCGGACCCAACTCAGCAGCACTTAACAACAACATATATGGCTCACTACCAAACCCAGAGGAGCTTTGGTAGCGTAGTGGTTACGAATCGGGCTGCAAACCGCAAGGTCAGCAGTTCAAAACTACCAGCTGTTCCATAGGAGAAAGATGAGTCTTTCTGCTCCTGTAAAGATTTACAGCCTCGGAAACCCTGTATAGGGTCGCTATGAGTCGGAACCGACTCCACGGCACATCACCACCACCTCCACCAAACCCAAACCAAACCCATTGCCATCAATTCCGTTCTAACTCATGGTAACCCTACACAGAGTTTCAGACTAAATCTTTATGGGTGTAGACAGCCTCATCCCTCTCCCACACAGTGGATGGTGGGTTTGAACTGCCGATCTTTTGGTTAGGATCCCAATGTTTAATGCACAGCAAGCACTACAAGGGCTCCTTCGTCCCCCCTTTGTGTGGGTTTTCAGTGCCTTCAAGTCAGTTCCTACTCATAGCGACCCTGTGTAGGGTTTCCAAGGAGAGCTGGTGAGTTTGAACCACCAACCTGTGGTTCACAGTCCACACCAGTAGTCCACGTTCTCCCTATTGCAGCCAAAATGACCTATTTTTAAGTTCTGTTTACCATTTGAACTGCCCACCTGTGGTCAGCAGCCCAACGTTTACTGCACCACGCACAAGGCCTCCCCCACTACAGCACTGTCTAATTCCTGTGGCACTGTGGGCTCGTGTACTGGACTGTAAGGTCAGTGTAAAGTGCAAGGTCAGCAGTTCAAGCTCACCAGTCACTCTTTGGAAACCCAATACAGGGTCACTATGAGTCAAAACCAACTCAATGGCACTTAACGACAACAACGTTATCTTTTTGATGATGAGTCCTGGTGTGGTGCTGTGGGTTAATGCACCAGACTACAAAGCCGTTTAAACTGCAAGGTTGGTGGTTCAAGCTCACGAACTGCTCGTCAGAAACCCTATACAGGGTCGCTATGGGTCGGAATTGACTCGACGGCACTTAACAACAACAACAACAACAATCCAGATCTCAGCTGTGGATCAACACTATGGATCACAATGGATCTGCAAGTGATCACAGGTTCAGGACCAGCCTGTGTTTCATTCCATTGTGCGTGTAGTTGCTGTAACTACAGAGGCTGAATGCACAGCACAGAACTCAGCATCATTACACACACAGACACACATATCTGCAGAGATCTGGGGTGGCTGCAGGATTAGCTCTGGACTGCTAACCACAAGGTTGACGGTTCAAGCCTACCAGCTGCTCCTTAGAAACCCCATACAAGGGCTGTATGAGCTGGAATCGACACGATGACACGTAAAAGTATGTTGCATAAAACTCACAGTTTGAAGTAACCTGGATATGAGTTTTCTCATGTCCCACCATTATCACTTTCATGGGTGCATTCTATTTGGTCATGTCCCCAGTCATTTGGATTTAGAATATTTCAGTAAATGAGCAGTGATACACAATTTTATGCAACATTTACCCCTTTTGGAATGACTCCTCAAGGGATATTCTTTGGATTTTGCTACACCAAGAATCAGAAAATTTCGATAGGTTGCCAATTTTTTTTTTTAAAAAAGAGTTTATGTTAACATATGCTTTGAAATCATTAGAAACCAACTCTTTAGGTTTAAATAATGCTTAACCACACAACATAAAAATGGTCTCCTCCAAAGTAAAGGATCTTATCAGATTGTTGTTGTCCTTAAGTGCCACTGAGTCCATTCCAACTCAGTGACCCTGCTTAAGGTTTCTGAGGCGTGGCTGGTAGGTCTGAACCACCAACCTTGTGGCTAAGCTCACAGTTCAATGTTTTCTCCTACAGCACTCCACCAGGACCTTTCTTATTAGACTACCTGTTAGTGAAAGCAGAGGTCATTGTACTTACTATTCTGAATGCCATAAATTTCATCAATGAGCCCTTCATATGTAAGCTGGGTAGCTAGAGGTGTTAACAAGTCCACATTTCGATCGAGCAGCAAGAGGTTATCAAACACAGGAAATATTGAATTTTGGCTTCCTGTAAATTCTCTCTTCATTCTGATCATCATATTGGCCACTTGCTAGAAACAAAAACAATTAGATTAGGTAGGGCCCTCCGGAAACTAGTAGATTTTAAAATTGGGTTAAAAACAGAAAGATAACCACAAAAGTGAAAAGAGGAGAAAAGCTGTGGGCCAGTGCCTCCGAAAAGGATTAAGCAGCCACTGGGAAGTATTTATACCATAGTCAATGGCAGCCACCATTCCCAACGAGCCATCAAGCCAGACACGTGTTTCTAAAGCCCCCCACTCCTTCCCTGTTTTGGGGTCAAGGTGTCCTCCCTTCACCCCCAGAAGACCCCCACCCTTCTTACCCGTGCACACTCCCCTTTCCCAAAGATCTGGGGGATGGTCCCATACAGAGCCTGCAGGGTCATGAGCCCCTTTGCGGCGTGGTAGAGGCTTGTCTGGTCGCTCTCCAGGTAGCACTCCTGCAGGGAGGAAAGACCAGTTACCTGCAGGCTGGTGGACAGCTACCAGCTCAGGGCCAGCCAGGGGCCCGCCCTGGCTCCCAGAACCAGGAGGTGGGAAGCGGGGTCTCAAGTCCATTCACACAGATGTCTTTCTAAACCATGGGGCCAGAGCTGTAGCACCGCGACCAATGGTGAGCCCCCTGACTCTCCCGAGGCAGAGCTGGGGGCTCTGAAGGAGGGTGCTCACACTTATTTATACCAGCTCAGTTCATCAGCTCCTGACTGAAACTGGGATTAGTAAAGGCTTACACTGAGGAGGGGGAGGGGGCGCTAATTCATGGTGGTGAATGTGAACTTGGGTAGCATATTTTGGAAAGGCCAAGTGCCCACACACATGGGAATGCAGTCATTTTTGTGAACCCAGTGTATCAGCTGACTGTTGAACAACATGGGTTTGAACTGGGCAGAGAGAGCTTAAAGGCAGACTGTTTCCCATTTGTCACTGAGGTGAGCTTAAGTGTTGCCAGTGTCCACACAGGATGCTAATCATCTCCCTGTGAGCTGCTGGTTTCTCTGGTAACTGCTAGCTAGCCCCTTCCCCTTCCATCCATCCTCATTGGAGAGATGCTATGCAGAGAGCGGTATTAGCAGATACTGGTAACACTCAAGTTCACCAGAATAGCAGCAGGGAAAAATCCACATAAACGTGAGCCCATGCAGGTCAAACCAGTGTCATCCCAGAGTCAACAGCAAATTATAACATGGATTTTATACTGCACAGGGGGAGTGGGGAGCTTTAACCCTTAAGAGTTGGCACCCTTAACCCTGCCTTGTTACATGTGGCACCTTTTGCAACATGTACAAAAAAATGAGGCGGAGTTTACATACAGTGGTTTTCCACAGAGACAAATGAGGTCTGCAATATACTGATCATTGCTATTCAGCTTTCAACCAAGCAGATGTCTGACCCCTACATTTTGCACAGGAAGATGACAGAAATGGTCACATTCATGCCCTGAAGGCACGGCAAGACCTAGAGGTGCCTCCTGATGCTAAGAAACACTAAAAGTTATGCACAGCGTTTATAAACACACAAAGAACATCCCTTCCCAAACTATTCCCTAGAGAAAATCTTTAAAGAGAACTGAAATCAACCATCATGAAGCGCTGACAACTGGGAGGCAGGCTTGCAGTGTATACCCTTTGGTTGGTTGATGATGCGTGGAGGGGATTGTAACCATGGCAATGAAACCATATACTATAGAATGAATGTAAAGCTAATGTTCTCCCATGTAAACTATCACATAACTCAAAATAAAACATTAAAAAAAAAAAAACCCATGAAAGCAGTACAACCAAAAAAAAAAAACCAAAAACCAGAGGGAATGGAAGCAAATGTTGTGGAATGATGATGCATGGAGGGGACTGTAATCACTGCAATGAAATGAAATACGATAGGATGATGGTAAAGCTGATGTTCTCCCATGTAAACTATCACTCAATTCACAATTAAAAACAAAACAAAACCGACAATGGATGGAATACACAGGAAAAAAACAAATGGTACTGGATATTCACATGCAGAAAAAATGCATCAGGATGCATACCTCACACCATGTGCAAACTAACTCTAATGTTTCAAAGTCCTAAATTTTCAAGCAAAAACGAAATAATTCCTGAAAGGTAACCTAGTGTCAAAACTATGGAAGCTAATTTTTGGTACAAATAGTCTATCAAACAAAACTACAAGTGCTTGAATGACAGAAGATAAATTAGATAAATGGGACTTCTTTAAAATTAAATATTTCATCAAAAGATTTTAGTTAGAGAGTGTGATATATTGAATTATTAAAAAACAAAACAACACTCAGGGAAGCAGCAGTCAAGAGATCAGACGACGTATTGCACGGGGCAAATCTGCTGCACGAGACCTTTTTAAAGTGTTGAAGAGCAGAGATGTCAGTTTGAGGACTAAAGGTGCACCTGACCCAAGCCATGGTATTTTCAATAACCTCATATGCATGCGAAAGCTGGACAGTAAATAAGGAAGACCGTAGAAGAATTGATTCATTTGAATTATAGTGTTGGAGGAGAATATTGAAAGTGCCACGGGCTGCCAAAAGAACAAACAGACCTTTGTTGCAAGAAGTGTAGCCAGAGTGCTCCTTGGATGCTAGGATGGCCAAACTTCATTTCTTATACTTTGGATATATTGTCTGGAGGGACTAGTCACTGGAGGAGGGGATCATGTTTGGTACAGTGGAGGGTCAGAGAAAAAGAGGAAGACCCCCAATGAGAGGGGCTGGCAGAGTGGCAGCAGCGAAGGGCTTAAATGTAGAAATGATGTGAGGTTGGCCCAGGACCAGGCAGTGTTTCATTCTATTGTGCATAGGGTCGCTATGAGTTGGTACTGACTCGATGGCACTTAACAACAATTACAACAATTAAGTGCCATCCAATCAAACTCAGAGACCCTGTATAGCGTTTCTAAGGCGTAGCTGGGGGGTTTGAACCTTGACCTTGTGGCTAGCAGTCCAATGCTTATCCGATAGCACTATAGCAGGACTCCTCCCGAAAGAACAGTTTAGCCTAGTTAGAAAAGAAAGCCGACATGGAGACCTATATTTTTTTAAGGAATTTTTGTGACTAAATTGACAACAGAAACTCCCAAGGGCAAATGAGAAGCTTTGCCAGACAGTAAGACTGGGTTAGTAATGGTGAAATCTTTTGGGAAAGTTGAAAAGGTTGGAGCACCTGAAAAAACGCAATCAGTATCAATGAACTGTACATGCAGAAATTGGTGACGTGGTCTATGTATTGTTGTTGAGAGATGCTGTTCACGTTGCTTACAATTCACACAACTCCGTCCATGTACGACAGCACGAACCCCTGCCAGGTGCTGGTCCAGCCGCACCATCTGGTATGTTTCAGACCACGCTGCAGCCACTCTGTCTACCCGACTTGTTAAAGGTCTTCGTCTTGTTCACTGACCCTGTACTCTGCTGGTAAACTTTCACCGAAAGAGTGACCATAACCCAAAATGGGGGAGGGGCAGGGCTACAAAGGCAAGAAGCGACTGACTTACAAGCTTTCAAGAGGGAGCCTAGATCCAGAGGGCATGGAGGAAGGTAGAATCTCCACTGAGCAGTGTCTAATCTGTCTAGGTGGGGTTGATGAAAGGAGATGCGGATAGGTCTCTTGTGATACAATAGTGAATAATTGTTATCAGGACTGATTGTGAGGGTTGGAAATGTAAAGGTAGACGTTTTGTAGCAAAAGGAGGGGAGTGATTGACTTTGCAGTCCAGGAGCGGAGGTCCCTGGGACCATCAAGGGAGAAGAGCGGAGTGAGGGACCCTACCCAGAGAAGCAGTGACACCAGAGATGGAGGCAGAGACGGTGATGTGGAGAGACAGAATGGCTGGGGACTTTAGACCCAGAGAGGGAAGAGGGCTATGTACTGACAACCAGGGAGCAGGCTTGCAGGGTATACCCTTTGGTTGGTTGATGATGCATGGAGGAGATTGTAACCATGGCAATGAAACGATATACGATAGGATGAATGTAAAGCTAATGTCCTCCCATGTAAATTGTCACATAATTCACAATAAAACATTAAAAAAAGTGAACATAAAATAGGTAAATAAACCAAGCACACACAAAGAAGTGAAACCACCTCAATTCCATTAGAAACCAGGACTGCAATGAACATTAGATTGGAGTTCTTCGCTTCACCGTTTAGGCAAAATTCTTGATTTCTAATTCATTAATCTGCAGTGAACATACAAAGCAAAGGGCTTGTAATTCTCCAGAGAAAATAATTCCAAGTTTCTTGGCAAATGATCACTAAAATGAACAAGGAAGCCTTCTTCTGGCCAGGTTCTGCCAGGCCCGGACAAGTATGTCTCTGCTGCTGCCAAACGACATTAATTACACAGATGTGAATTAGCGACATAAAATGTGTACCACCCTATAAAGACATGTGATAAAGCAAATACAGCAAAATGTTCCAGACAGGGTCCAAGTAGTGGGTATACGAGCACCCAAGGAATAATCCTGTCCACTTCTGTATGTCTGAAAAGTTTTCATATTAAATGCAGGGGGAGAAGTCTACACCCTCACTGGACGACATGGAAAATACAAAACAGAAAAGCTCCCAACATCCCAGAAGAGAGGAAAAGCTGTCAGTTATACAACTGAGCACTGGTAACCTCCAAATGGGAGCCCTGGTGTGGCGCTGTGGGTTAATGCACTGCACTGCAAGGTCAGATGGAAACACAAGGTTGGCGGTTCAAACTCACCAGCTGCTTCTCGGAAACCCTATACAGGGTCACTATGAGTCAGAACTGACTCCACAGCACTTAACGACAACAACGCCCCAAATAACTCTTGTTTCAAGGCAGCAATCATTGTAATGACATATTGGGGAGAAAAAGCTTCAAGTAATCTCATGTAACACAGCCACCCACTGCTATCAACTCGATTCTGACTCACACTGACCCTGGAGGACAGAGAACAGCGGCCCTAGGGGGTTTCCAAGGCCTCACATCTTACCGGGAGCAGAGTGCTGCATCTTTCTCCCTAGAAACAGCTGGTGTTAACTTGCAGTTGGCAGTCCACTGCTTATACTATAGCGCCACACCAGGGCTCTCTACGACTACACTGTTGTTGTGTGCTGTCGAGTGCGTTCCAACTTACAGCGACCCTATAAAAGGTTTCTGAGAGCAGCTGGTGGGTTTGAACTGCCGGCCTTCTGGTTAGCAGTCCAGTGTTTATCCTACTGCTCCCCACCAGGGCTGAGGCTACTATACTAGTGGGCCTCAAAAGTTCCAGTCTCCAGAACAGCAAGTTCGGCATCATAAAACCACACATCAAAAAAGGAACTATTGAGAACAAACAAGATGGCGGATCGGGTGGACGTATAGCAGAGAGCTCCGCCAACAACAACACAGAATACCTGACCAAGCAGGTTCAGGGGCTGGTCCCAGAACTCTGAACCGCATATAAAGGAATACTTAG